CGGGCAGGGCCTGGGGGCAGCCCCTCACGCCCTACCCCCTGCAGCCCCCTGGGCGCTGGGCAGCCACGCTGCTGGGAGAAGATGGACCGAGAGCAGCAGTCACGGAAGGAGGCGAACGCTGTCAGTGCTCCGTTAAAGCGTCTGTCAGAGGCAAAGGGTTTAAAACTGACATCTTTATTTATTTTTTTTTCTTCCCTTCACACACATACACGGCAGACGGATGTTAAGCTCTCCCCACCCCAAAGTTGCCTGACAAGTAACGCCCAGCTCCAGAGCAGTCCCGTGGTATCCAACGAGGGCGGCCAACGCTGTTATTTAAGGAGCAGCAAGGAGTACATGAGGAGATTCCTGGTCGGTTATAAAAACCTGTTTTCTCAAGCATAAAAAAAAAATGCTCACTATGAGACATAAAACTGGACTCAAGGCAGAGTTTAAAAATACACCAAAAGGAGGTAGTATGCAAATCATTTCTAGGGTATAGCCGTAACAGTGATGCTGGGGTGGATAAGGCATGAGCAAATAAAGGCGGCATTCAACAAATAAACTTTCTAAATAAGTAACTGAAGCCCAGCACAAAAACTAGGTTATTGTCTAGTAAGAATACAGAAAGGAAAACACTAAAACAGCGTTCCAAGATGGGTATTTCGTATTGGATACTGGGCATTTATAGCCATTGATGTCCACATCCAGGCCCTGCTTTCTTACCCCTCCTGGAAAAGGCACTAACACCTGGAACTCTCAATTCACCACCTCAAAAGCTTCCCCAGGTTTGTTCTTGGCTGTGACAGCTACAACAGGGAACCGACTGCAGTTAACGGGTCAGCTGCTGCACCGGCAGCTCTGCACAGGGGACTGGAGGTGCCGTACAGATACAGTATATGTGCATGCAGTGCATTGCAGAACGACAGCCCGTATCACACATCGAAGTGGAAAGGAGAAAAGTTTTCTGTTAACATTGATCAGTTTGTATGGCTACATTCACAACTTCGAAGTAGTAATTTCCAGAAAGTATTGGATTAAAAAACACCCCTATGTTTGCCTAATATTGCCATGTAAAAATAGAATTAAAACAAGTATCTTATCTGTTGACTTGAAAAAATCCAAGCCCGCACAGAGCTATGTTAGAGAGCTTCAAAGACTGAAATTCAACTGAACCGGTAATATGAAGAACGGTACGTACATAATGAAGTGCAGAAAGATCCTTTCATTATATTACACTTTCCCAAACGCAATAGGTTATCATGTAGTGTTTACACAGTAAAAACTATTAGATTTTCTGAACTTCTCCACACTGCTCAGAGATGTCACCAATACGTTCAACTCAAATACAGAAACTTTAAATATTCTAATAAAAATAGCTTTTTTTATAAACCACAAGTAAGTAGAAGGCAAATATATCAGAGTATGCATAGCTTTCAAGATGTAAAGTATATCGTGAACAATTGAGTATCCTTCTTCATTTATCTGATGTAATGCATCTTATTTACCTTAACAAGTCAAGATTTTGGGACAGTGATGTTATTTTGGAAACACGTACTGAAGAACATTGATGGGAGAATAAAATTGAGAGGA